TAAAAATATCTACTAATATGATAAATTACATTAATTTATTTTCAAACATTAAGCCAACCTTGAACTCCTGGGAGGAACAAAGTTTACTTAGAATGCCTTATCTTTTCTCTATATCATTGAGCATGAATTGCTGTATTTTGTTAAGAATTTTAGTATGTATGTTCCTGAGAGATACTGGTCCACAGTTTACTTTTCTCATAATATCTTAGTTTTGGTATCAGGGTAACTCTAGGCTCACAGAATGAGTTGGTTAAGTATTCCCTCATCTTTTAATTTCCAAAATACTCTGACTAAAATTGGTAGTGGCAGGAGAGGAGAGAAAAAAATGGAGAAAAAAATATTTCAAAAAATAATTAAAAAAAAAACCCTCATCAAATTGGTTGAAAAATAATATCCACATCTAGGAAGCTCAAATAAACTCTATGTGATACAAATTCAGAGTCACAAATATACATATCATAGGGAAAAAATGCTCAAAGACAAAATCTTGAAAGTAGCAACAGCAAATAACATCACTTACAAGAGAACCCTGGTGAGATTAACAGATGACTTCTCAGCAGAAACAATGGAATCTAGAAGACAGTGAGATGACATATTCAAAGTACTCAGAGGAGGAAAAAACTGCCAACCAAGGGTTCTATATCTAGCAAATCTACCTTTCAAAAATGAAAGTGAATACAAGACTGTCCCAAATAAATAAAAACTGAAAGCATTTTTGCTAGCAGATTTGCTTTACAAGAAATTATTCAGATTGAAACTAAGTGACCACAAATGGTAATCTGAATCAACATGAAAAAGCAAAGAACACTGGTAAAATTAATTACATAAAGATTAAAAAAACATATAAATGCTTATTTTTCTCCTTTATTCTAATAAATAATTTTAAAAAACATAGAATAATATTTAGACAATGTAATATTAGGCTTATTGGGGATTTAACATGTAGACATGAAATATATGTATACTACATTTGCTAATAAAAGCAAGATGGAGGTAAGTGGGGGTGAAGCTCCATTGGGCTAAGGAAATGACAACAGATGGTAAAGTAATATACTTATAAGAAAGTATTGTTGAATTTGTAACATAAGTAGAAGTAGTATGTATGACAATAACACTGCAAAAAGAAAGGAAAAGATTAGAGCTTAATAGGTATAACATTTTTATATGTCACTGAATTGAGCTAGTATAAATCTGAAGCTTATTCTGATAAAATATATATGGTAAACCCTAGAGCAACACTAAATATAAACAAAATTAAAGAAATGAAAATGCTACAATAGAAAATATTCATTTAATGCAAATTAAATTGCTAACATCTGCTGGATCATCAAAAAAGCAAGAGAGTTCCAGAAAAACATCTATTTCTGCTTTATTGACTATGCCAAAGCCTTTGACTGTGTGGATCACAATAAACTGTGGAAAATCCTGAAAGAGATGAGAATACCAGGCCACCTGACTTGCCTCTTGAGAAACCTGTATGCATGTCAGGAAGCAACAGTTAGAACTGGACATGGAACAACAGACTGGTTCCAAATAGGAGAAGGAGTACATAAAGGCTGTATATTGTCATCCTGCTTATTTAACTTCTATGCAGAGTACATCATGAGAAACACTGGGCTGCAAGAAGCACAAGCTGGAATCAAGATTGCCGGGAGAAATATCAATAACCTCAGATATGCAGATGACACCAGCCTTATGGCAGAAAGTGAAGAGGAACTAAAAAGCCTCTTGATGCAAATGAAAGAGGAGAGTGAAAAAATTGGCTTAAAGCTCAACATTCAGAAAACTAAGATCATGGCATCTGGTCCCATCACTTCATGGGAAGTAGATGGGGAAACTGGAAACAGTGGCTGACTTTGTTTTTTTGGGCTCCAAAATCACTGCAGATGGTGACTGCAGCCATGAAATTAAAAGACGCTTACTGCTTGGAAGGAAAGTTATGACCAACCTAGACAGCATATTAAAAAGCAGAGACATTACTTTGCCAACAAAGGTCCATCTAGTCAAGGCTATGGTTTTTCCAGTGGTCATGTATGGATGTGAGAGTTGGGCTGCGAAGAAAGCTGAGCGCTGAAAAATTGATGCTTTTGAACTGTGGTGTTGGAGAAGCCTCTTGAGAGTCCCTTGGACTGCAAGGAGATCCAACCAGTCCATCCTAAAGGAGATCAGTCCTGGGTGTTCATTGGAAGGATTGATGTTGAAGCTGAAACTCCATTACTTTGGCCACCTGATGAGAAGAGCTGACTCATTTGAAAAGACCCTGATGCTGGGAAAGATTGAGGGCAGGAGGAGAAGGGGATGACAGAGGATGAGATGGTTGGATGGCATCACTGACGCAATGGACATGGGTTTGGGTGTGCTTTGGGAGTTGGTGATGGACAGGGAGGCCTGGTGTGCTGTAGTTCATGGGGTCACAAAGAGTTGGACACGACTGATTGACTGAACTGAACTGATGGGACCAGATGCCATGACCTTAGTTTTCTGAATGTTGAGCTTTAAACCAACTTTTTCACTCTCCTCTTTCACTTTTATCAAGAGGCTCTTTAGTTCTTCTTTGCTTTCTGCCATAAGAGTGGTGTCATCTGCATATCTGAGGTTATTGATATTTCTTCCGGCAATCTTGATTCCAGCTTGTGCTTCATCCAGCCCAGCGTTTCTCATGATGTACTCTGCATATACGTTAAATAAGCAGGGTGTCAGTGTACAGCCTTGATGTACTCCATTCCTGATTTGGAATCAGTCTATTGTTCTATGTCCAGTTCTAACTGTTGCTTCTTGACCTGCATTCAGATTTCTCAAGAGGCAGGTCAGGTTGTCTGGTATTCCCATCTCTTAAGAATGTTCCAGTTTGTTGTGATCCACACAGTCAAAGGCTTTGGAGTAGTCCATAAAGCAGGAGTAGATGTTTTTCTGGAACTCTCTTGCTTTTTGATGATCCAATGGATGTTGCCAATTTGATCCCTGGCTCCTCTGCCTTTTCTAAATCCAGCTTGAACATCTTGAAGTTCACGGTTCACGTATTGTTGAAGCCTGGCTTGGAGAATTTTGAGCATTCCTTTGCTAGTGTGTGAGATGAGTGCAATTGTGCGGTAGTTTGAACATTCTTTGGCATTGCCTTTCTTTGGGATTGGAATGAAAACTGACCTTTTCCGGTCCTGTGGCCGCTGCTGAGTTTTCAAGACCATCATCAAGAAAAAGAAGTGCAAAAAGGCAAAATGGTTGTCTGAGGAGGCCTTACAAAATCCAACTATATAAATATAGTTAAATGTGAATGTATTAAACAAACCAAAATGGAGATGAGCAGAGAAATCAATATAATTGATTAAAAGATGATATAATGGGATTTCCCTGATGGTCTATTGGCTAAGACTCCCAGCTCCCAATGCAGGGGGCCCAGGTTCCATCCTTGGTCAGGGAACTAGATCCCACATGCCTCAGCTAAGAGTTCACATGCCTCAACTGAAAAAAGAAAATCCCACATACCACAACTGAGGATCCCAAATGCCTCAAGGAAGATAGAAGATCCCAAATGTTGCAGCTAAAACCTGGCACAGCCAAATAAATATTTTTTTTAAAGATGATATAACTGTAATCTGCAGGAGACACACTTTAGATTCAAAAATATAAATATATTTAAAAGTATAGGTGTATATTCACCCATAAGAAAACTGAAATGGCTATACTATTGCTTTGGCCAAAAAGATCATTTGGCTTTCTCCTTAACATCTTATGGAAATAGGCTTGAAATGTCACTCCCAGACCTGGGGCAAGGAATTTCCCCGAGTTTGGAATTTGGATAGATGGGGTTCAAACCCTTGCGGATATAGCTCCAGTGGTCCAGACTGGAGGTAAAGACTCAATCTCAGGGGATACTTCTCCCAGGTCTCTCAGCTGTGTGCTAGTCCTTATGTATTTCCAGGTAGGATCATTCCTGATATGTTTACTTTTCAGTTCAAACTAACTTCTGCATTTAGGCTCAGAGTAGGTCTAGTGATGTGACTGCAACAAACGTTGGCAAGGTTAAACCTCAACTTTGTAAGCTTGTTTGCAAAAAAAAAAAAAAATTCTATTACTCAATTGCCTACTTGGAATCTGCAAACAGATCCTTCATTTCTGTTAGGAGATTTCAAAAAGCATGGTGTGTGTGTGATGTGAACAATTTGGAATATATAATTTCTCTGGAAAGATGAAAGAACCAGGAGCTTGCCAGCTCTGGTAGGAAGTACATCTTTAAAATGAAAGCATGTGGGGGTGGGGGTGGGCGGGATGAGCTTTGCCAGCTGCTGCTGCTTCAGTCGTGGACAACTCTGTGCGACACCATAGACGGCAGCCCACCAGGCTTCCCTGTCCCTGGAGTTGCCTAGCTAGATCAGTGCAAAGAAAGGTAGTGAGTTGTGGCAGCTGGACACTTTTTACACAGGGACACATGGACATGTTCTGCACATGGACATGTGGGCACAATTTGCAAGCACACAGATGTTTTGCTTACAGAGGCAGGTTTTGCCCGTGGATTCTTGGACATGTGGAAACGCTTTGCACACAGACACATGTTCTGCACTTAGACACGTTTTGCAGACTGACACGGACGCGCTGCGCACATGGACAAACGGGCATATTTTGCATGTGGACATACATTGTACCCGGACACGTGTTTTTCAGGACGCCCGTACAGGTTTGCACACTGATCCCTTCTGCACATGGACACATGGCACGGTCTGCACAAGAACAAATATTTTGCACACGAACGCACGTTCGTCTAGAAAAGCCCGAGGCGGCGACGGTGGAGTCGGACGCAGGTAGGTGCGGCGTGGCGCTGGCCCGGGGCCCGTCCTGAAGACGCGCCGGCGGGGCGATGAACTACAACTCCCGGCGCTAAGCCACCTCGGCCGGACGCGCTGCGACGCCAAACGGCCCCGCCCAGCGGGCGGTGCGTTCTCGGCCCAGGTTCCCGCGGCGGTGCGAGTGGCGGAGCCGCGGACTGGGGCGCGGGAGCCGGTGTCATGGAGCCCCGCGCCTCGGACGGTAGCTTCCTGGGCGATGTGGGTACGTGCGAGGCGCTGGGGGCGCGGGGCCGGCTCCGGGGGCCGAGAGCTGCATCTGGTGACATTCGCCCCCAGCGGGGACGCGTCCTGCTCTGAGGGGTGGCCAGGGGCGTCTGGCCGGGACTGAGTCGGTTGGGAGGGCCGTGCCCTTAAAGGAGCAGCTCCGGGGGTCCCGTGCAGCTCAGACGCGGTTTCTGCGTCCCGCTCCAGGTTCCCCCGTCGTCCCGCGCGTCGCAGGGCTGGTCATCCTTGTGACTTCAGAACCGCAGACGTAAACCGCCCCGCCGCCCCCCCACCCCCCAGCTGCCCGAGCGCCCAGCAACCTGGGGAGGATGCGGGGCTGTGCGTGGTCACAGGCAGATTCCGAGGAGAACCTAAGAAGTGCCCGCGTGGGACCACTGGTAGGGCAGCCGTGGTACCAGGGTTGGAGTAGACTGCCTTCCAGGCACCCAGTGGGAGGGTCGTGCGCGGGGTCGTTAGCATCCTACGGAGACACCCAGGAATCCGATTAGGAAGGAGCGTGTGCCCGTGTCGCACTGTGTGAGACATGCGAACTTGATTCTTGGTTGAGCCTTCCCTAGAATAAAATGGATGCGAGGGCAAAGGGCCATTCTCAGGGGAAGCAAGCCTCCCTGCCTACCGAGTAATTCTAGGGCAAATGACGTGAGCAGTGAAAACACTTTGAAAGCCCGGAAAGAAAAATCTATACAGTACTTTTATGCTCATAAAAATGTAGTGCAAATAAAAGTGAGAAGTCTTAAGGGTAAATTTAGCTTAAGAGGAATTGCAGTCTTAGCAAAGCAAAGATATTTTAATGATGTTGCAAAACAGCCACCTTCAGCAAGACCAAAGTCATTTAATAAGCATCTCTGTTTTTACTTGGCATTCTCATCCTAGGCAAGCACAGGACTTTGACCCTGCCATTGTGAGCTGTGTTTGGTTGGTTCAATGAAACAGGCAATGAACAGCTGACCACGGACACCTATTTAAACACAATTTAGTATTTTTGTTGATGTACAAGGTTCAGTGGCTTCCCTGGTGGCTCAGTGGTAAAGAATCCTCCTGCAATGTAGGAAATGCAGGTTCCATCCCTGGGTGGGGAAGATACCCTGGAGGAGGAAATGGCAATCAGTTCTAGTATTGCCTGGAAAATTCTGTGGACAGAGGAACCTGGTGGGCTACAGTCCATTGGGTCACAAGAGTCAGGAATGACTTAGTGACCAAACAACAATAACAAGGTTCAATAGCACTGCATCATGCCTGGGTATGTTTTTTGTACAGTTTAAGGAATGTATCTTTAGAGAATAATCAACTCTGAATATTCATTGGAAGGACTGATGCTGAAGCTCCAATATTTTGGCCACCTGATAGGGAAACCCAACTCATTGGAAAAGACCCTGTTGCTGGGAAAGATTGAGGACAGGAGCAGAACGGGGCAACAGAGGATGAGATGGGCAGACAGAAACACTGACTCTGTGGACATGAATTTGAGGAAACTCTGGGAGACAGTGAAGGACAGGGAAGACTGGCATGCTGCAGTCCATGTGGCCGCAAAGAGTCAGACACGACTGAGTGACTGAACAGCAACATTCTAAACTAAAGGAGGATGCAAAGTTTCTGGGGTTCATGGCTATTTTTGACTTTGCCATGGTTTTATGTCATGTATTTCTTCCAAAATACATTTCATCCTGCCTACATTTTTATTCTCAACACAAATGAATAAACTCAATGTGTTGAATCCAAAACAGCGCTACCATCCCATTAGAAGCAGAGGACCATCGTAGGAACTTTAACTCATGTTAATATTCTGATCTCAAATTCTGTGTGTGTGGTATACTCTAACCAAACCACGTAGCCTTAATATAACACTATAACACTTCACAGGTAAAGGCAGCAGTCCTATAGGCTTACCAATAAGATAAGAACCAAGAATTTAGGGCCAGTCCCATTATAAAGTGAATTCAGTCTTTGTTCCTTAGCAAATGTAATTCACATCATTGTCTGTTTGCAAAGTTGAAAAAGTGACTCCTGATTTCAGCATCTGTACTCTTGGGCTTCTGACTTGGAAGGTAGAGGCTGGCAGAAGATGAAAGGATTCTTTGCTTATCCTCAGCCTCTGGGGTGTTGGGAAGGTGGCATGGAGAGAGAAAGGGGGAGGCAGCCCTGGGACCAAGATATCCAGGGACCACGGTGAGAGTCACTGAGCTGCTTGGCTGTGTGCAGGCACTGACTATGAGCCCTGCAATGGCTGCAGGACACTCATCGTTATCCATAAGTTAGAGGTGGAACTGAGTTCGCACAGCCAGGAAGTCGCAAAGTTGAGGTTTTTTTTTTTTTTAATATTTATTTATTTGGCTGAGCTGGGTCTTAGTGCTGGCAAGCAGATTCTTCAGTTGCAGCATGTGTGGTCTAGTTCCCTGACCAGGGATTGAACCCGGGACCCCCTGCATTAGGAACACAGAGAGTCTTAGCTACTGGACCACCAAGGGAGTCCCCAAAGCTGAGGTTTTAATGCAAGCAGTTCTTTTTGGTTTTGCCTGTTTTATGTTACAAGGCTCATGTCTCTTTTGTCAGATAAGATCATCTGTAATCGATGTGTAGTGCTGGGTGGGTTTGTGACTGGGATGGATGCATGTTGTCTGCATCCAGGTTCTCAGAGGGCTGGGGAGCACCTTTACCATCTATCATCTCTGCATGATGTTGCTTTCAGGCTCTGAGAAACGTCTTTGCCTCTGGGTGTCCACAATCAGGATGGTAGGTCAATCTGCATCCCCACTCAAGTCTCCAAGTTCACCCTTCTGTTGAGTCTGCAGAATCTGATGGGTTTTGTTTGTTTGTTTGTTTGTTTTCTCTCTCTTTGTTTTTGGCCTTGCTGGATGGCTGTGGGATCCTAGTTCCCCAACCAGGGGTTGAACCCGGGGCCCTGGTAGTGAGAACACTGAGACCTAGCTACTGGACTGTCAGGGAATTCCGGGATTTCATTTTCTAAAATTAGAATTGTAGTGAAAGTACTTTAAGAGATCTAGATAATCGGTGCCCTGGCTGGGAGATCAACTTCCTTGAAAATCTCAAATTGTGCGTCTTATTTCTGCCTTAGAGAAGGCTGCATTCTAGAAGTGTCTAGTTAGTGGAGAATCCTCTGGGCCATGCATTACACTACGAATAAAAATGTTTGAAGGAAATTAGGTTGATTTTAATACCAGTTGGTGTTCTGGGCACTCACTGTGGCCAGGAGTGGCTGCCAACTACAGCAGTACAAAGGAGTTTTGATTTTTTGGTATAACCGTCCTCCCCAGCTCACACCCCTGAGTCCTAAGCACTGTAGGGAAGGGGTTGGGGCGGCACATTATTGGATGAGCGGTCAGGAAGGTTGTGGAGGGAGGGCAAGGGTCTGATTCCAGCATTTCTCATAAAATGTGTTTAAGAAGCTCTTTTCCTGATCACTTGTCTCATGCATCCAACCTGGGCTGGTGGTCTGTTTCACCCTTGATAGTATACTTGTTTCAATGCTATTCTCTCAGAGACAAGTGCTTGGGGCTGGTGCACTGGGAAGATCCAGAGGGATGGGGAGGGAGGCGGGAGGGGGGATCGGGGTGGGGAACACATGTAAATCCATGGCTGATTCATGTCAATGTATGGCAAAAACCACTACAATATTGTAAAGTAATTAGCCTCCAACTAATAAAAATGAATGGAAAATAAATAAATAAATAAATAAAAAAGAAGCTCTTTCCCTCCCTTTCCCTGGCTGTCTTCCACTGCTTCTGTAACCTCTTCCCACTTGTCTCTTTTGCTTTCACTTTTTCGCTTTCACTTTCGTTTTCCCTCTTAACTAAGCTTTGTCTTGTTCCTGTAGGAAGGTAAACCTTTTCTCTTTAAAATTTTTACCCAGTTTAACACATTATAAAAACCATGAGGTATGCCACTTGACCTCAAGTTTACCAACAAACAATATTGGGGTACTGATAATGAAAACACTGAAAAAAGACCTTGCTCAAAAAATCTCTTCAAAAGCAACAAAACTCTCAGCCCCAAGTGCTAAGTAAAGGTTTCTATTAATACATATGAAAATGAAGATTTCTGTCTTCCCTTAGAGTCAAGGTGACTGGTAGTTTCAAGCACTGCTGCTGCTGCTACTGCTAAGTCACTTCAGTCATGTCTGACTCTGTGCGACCCCATCCCTGGGATTCTCCAGGCAAGAACACTGGAGTGGGTTGCCATTTCCTTCTCCAATGCATAAAAGTGAAAGTGAAGTTGCTCAGTCATGTCCGATTTCGCAACCCTACGGATTGCGGCCTACCAGGCTCCTCCTCCTCGGTCCATGGGATTTTCCAGGCATGGGTACTGAAGTGGGGTGCTCTTGCCTTCTCCAAGTTTCAAGCATACTGACCTTGAATTCGGACAGCTCTGTAAGTCGCGTGGTCGTAATCAAGCATTTAATAAGCACCACCTGTGCCCAGCTATCTACATGCATGTGTCTTTGTTCCCCAAGGCATCTCACAGAGAGGTTTACCATTCTCAGGTGGTGGTCTCTCTGTCCTTCTGGGTCTTCCGTCCTATTTTGTTTTTTCACTCCTTTACTATTAGATGGGTGGGTACACTTTGCCATGATTTCTAGGTCCTTTTAGCTCTTCAATTCATCTTTTCTTTGTACCCCCAAATCCTTGGCCTTCTAGGACTTTGGGGGACAAGTCACTGGGGACCCCTGACTTTCTGGAGAGCCCACTGAGAGCAGGCCTCGGAACACCAGCTCCGCTGTGGCTTCAGTGACCGCTCACCCTGGCTATATCCCCATAAAGGTGCCCTGCAGCTGTGCATGGGGTAAGAGAAAGCTTACCTGACATCATTTCAAGAATATTTACTGGGATATTTGGGGAGAAGGCTTATTTCAATCTCTGCAGTGAGGGTCCCAGGCTGCCCTTCATGACAGATTTGGAGCCAGATTATGGCCCAAGTGACACTGAAGGGTGCCTGGTGGATGCTGAGCTGTTGGATCCGCTT